TTCTGTCCTTCACCACTCTACAAGAAACTTTTGATGAAGCTATGCTGTTTATATCTATCCATTTGACACCTTTCATTCCCTTTTTTTTTTAAAAAACAAAAAAAGAAAAAAAAGAGGAAGAAGAAAAAAGTTGTGCATGAAATTTTAGTCATGTTGATACTTTGTTCTATCCCTATTGGCCTATGTCTACACTCGTGCCCCAAAAATCATATAGTGGCTAACTTCAATAGTCACAACAATCTTTCTTCCTCTTTTCTGCCATATCAATTGATCTCCCATTTTTTAACATTTCCGATAATCTTACCTTTACTTTGCTAGTTTTAATATGAAACCCATGGCAAGGCCCATTTGAGAACCCAAGGCCTCAAAGCTCAACTATGGGTCGTTAATGGGTCCACATTTTTCAATACTTTCTTTTTGGACTTGTTTTTATCCAATATGGGCCTGGATCTATTTAACAATACGTTTACACAACTCAGACTCAATTTGCGTTTTAGATTTTAGTGGACCAATCTTCGAACTTCACACACGGTTGATTCGAAACATTTTTTTTCTCTCTCAGTAAGTGGTCTTCTAATCAAACTTATAATAACGAATTAATATATATATATATATATATATATATGTGTCCCAAAATCACATACAAATAGAAGCAAAAATTACGAGAGATTTGTAATTCCATGTCACGTCTTTATCTCCTTTTATCTTATAAAAAAGGGAAGATAGAAAGGGTAAACCAGCCCATTAAGAGTTTAACTTGTCTTATAAAAAAGGAGAAAGGAAGTTTTGAGGAATGCTAATCAATATGAAATGATCTCATTTTTAGAGATTCTTTTTGAAAGGTGAAATGCATAGCTTATTAGAATATAAGCATTGATTTTGTTCTTGCCCCTTATAAAACCAAATCTATAACTTATCATCACACTTATAACTAAATAATACTATCTATGGAGAAGGCCATTCATATTTTCATAAGTAAAGATCACTTTGCCATCTTTCAAGATTATTACCAAATTAATTAATTAGTGAAGTATTGGCAGTTGAGCTTAATCTTCATTTTCGACATCAAGTTGAGCTCAAATAAAAAAATATATATATATATTGAAATCAAGCTCCAACTCAACAGTATTGATCTCATTTTGTCAATTTTGCAGTAAATGGACACGTTTCATATTCAAAGTAGTTATATTTGGAGATTTCCTTTTATTCCTTTTATTAATGAACCAATAAAACTCATAAACTTGTAAATTGTAATTAAGTTGATGATATAAAGTAACAAATCTTGGTAATAGATGGAATTAAGAAGCATTAATTTATACTCCTTAAAATAAATAAATAAATAAAAGATACCACAAAGCATTTTAATCATCAACAAAAGCAATCATCCATTCTAATTCGGAGAATATAATTGTCTCTCCCTCCCCTCAAATCCATGAATTAGAGCATCTCTTGAATTCCTTTCCTTGCTATTACTCTCTTTTCTTTCCAAATTATTTTCCAGTTATGTAAAAAAGAAAAGCTTAAGCCTCAATGAGAATAATATTATTCTAGCTTTGTATATTACACCATAGCATTCCATATATATTTGATGCCCAATTCACCACATACCTAATATTCACATGCATATATATATATCCATAATAAATCAAAACGCTACAATTTAAATAAAATCGTAATTCCATGTATTATTTTTTGATTTGTGAAAATAGAGAAAATGACAGGTAAGGTATTTGATTATTTATTAAACTGGGTAATAAAAATAATTTGATTAATTGGGGGTGGATACATATACATAGAATATTTTACAACATTAATAACATGGGAGACATGTTTAGGTGAGTTTAAAAGTTAGCTTAAAGGTGCCCTAAAACGCCAAGCTACTTTTAAGGCTAAACATCGCCTAAATTCCTTTTTATTTTATTTTATTTTATTTGGACGGTCTAATTGAAATTAGAAAACATGAAAGCTGACCGAAATGTTGGCCTATGATACTATCTGCTTACAAAATTTATTAAGAAAAAATTATTGGACGAGGTAAAGCAATCAATAGGAAAAGTTATTTCAAGTTAAAATCCGTTAGATGAATGAAATATTTAAGTAGACTTAATCAGAAGAGATTAGGAGTTCAAAATTTAGAATCATGGAAAGAATTTTATCTATATACTATTATCCAATAGAATCACTATTATTAAAAGATTTATCTAAATATTATCGTTCCAGTGTACAAACAAGCATGTGAATCAAAATTAAGGTAAAAAAAAAAAGTAGTAATGAATATATTGATATATAGAAGATAATGAGTGATTTGAGTAAATTAATTAATGATTTATGTCAATTGCATCTTTGTCAAATTCATTGCCAAAGATTTCTGCGTCATGTTTTAAGAAATTTGGCAAATTTATTAAGATAAGTAAAGGATTGAATCTTTTCAAAAAAAAAAAAGTAAAGGATTGAAATTTCAGGCAGCCTATCTCCAAAATCCAAATGCAATCCCTTGATTGCTTTTCACTATTGGAGTGGAAATTTTCATGAAACTCATCTCTAAATGCTGTCATTTTGTTGTCTTATCAAATACGAGTCCTTGAGTTGTTTCGAAAGGATTAGGGTTTATACATGAACGTAGGCCCTTTTTTATTAATCAGAAGCAGATTAGGAGTTCAAAATTTTAGAATCATGCGAAAGAATTTTATCTATATACTATATATCCCAATCAGAATCGACTATTATTAAAAGATTTGATCTAAATATTATCGTTCCAGTGTACAAACAAGCGATGTGAAATCAAAATTTAAACGGTAAAAAAAAAAGTAGTAATGAATATATTGCATCATATTAGAAGCATAATGAGTGATTTGAGTAAATTAATTAATGCATTTATGTCAATTGCATCTTGGTCAAATTACATTTGCCGAAAGATTTCTAGCGTACATGGGTTTAAGAAATTTGGCCAAATTATTAGATAAGTAAAGGATTGAATCTTTTTCAAAAAAAAAAAAGTAAAGGCATTGAATATTTCATGGCAGCCTATCTCCAAACCCCAATAGCCAATCCCTTGATTGCTTTTCACCTATATGGAGTGGAACCAAATGCAATCCCTTGATTGCTTTTCACTATTGGAGTGGAAATTTTCATGAAACTCATCTCTAAATGCTGTCATTTTGTTGTCTTATCAAATACGAGTCCTTGAGTTGTTTCGAAAGGATTAGGGTTTATACATGAACGTAGGCCCTTTTTTATAATCATTGCCAATATCACAAGGTTGAGCCTGAAACACGTGGCGAACATCCAGGTGATTGGGACTCTTCTCTTACTATCAACAATATTTGATGTTAATAAAGTTTCTGTATATTAATTACTAAATTTTTGGCTCAAAAATTGTTAGTTCGAGATTTGATATATCAGTTGCATAGTCTAAACCCGTTGATTAATGTTTATATCATTAAAGTTGTGGCCAACCAGATGATGACAAGTGTGCAATATAAATAATTAATGGAAGTAATTAATAACGTGGGAGCCATTTTCCGACAAAATTAGTTTTAAGTTTATCTAAGGAAATCTCAGATCAAAAGATATCTCGAGAGACGTACGTATGACTTTGTTTATTAAAATGACAGAAAGAGATTTATTTTGAATTAAAAATGGATTTGCTGGCTGATTGTCGGGATGCATTATTATTAATCAAACAATTACTAAAAATAGAATGTTTGTGCTTTGGGGAGAAGCTTCTTAATTATAGCTCCTATAACAATAGTTTACAACTTGTACGGGAAAATACAATATCAATTAAACATTATTAAAAAAAAATTAAACATTATTAAATATAATTATACAATTTGTTTATGAATTTTATTTTATTTTATTTTATTTTACATTAAAATTCATTTTTAATTAATTAAGTGTCTCAATGAATACTTTTTTAATTAAATATATTTAACTATAATTTTTTGCAGAATAAAAATGAAAATAGATAAGTTTATTAAATAAATAATATCGCACGTAAATATTCGTTATGCTTATCTTTCTTTCTTTTTTATTTTTGCTTTCTATATACTATATCTCTTTAGAAAAAAAAAAACTCAAATTTTTCTTCTTTTGTTTTTTCTATTTGGAAATAAAATCAACAAAAATGAGAGAAATAAAATAAAAAGAGAAAATTTGTGATCCTGTTCAACTAATTTTATCGAACACGCATATATATATAGAAGGAAAATTAAATAAAATAATTCACTTTTGGCAAGAAATTTTCACCAAATGAATAGAAAAAGTGATAAAAGTTCGAAACCCAACTTTATAATTATCTCAAAATTATTATTAACGTAGTTTTAGCAGTAAAGTGCTTGAGTAAGTAGACACTAATATATCGGTTAGGTAGGTATGTTTATATTAATATATGATCAATTATACATTAATTAATTATGATAAAGGACCTTTCTCCCAGTAATCCCCAATTTTTAGGGCACACAACAGCATCCATATATTTAATTTTGTTAAACAAATGACACCTGACATCATCAGTTGTACTTTATATTAATTGCATCTCTCTAATTGTTAATTTGTGAACTCTTGCAGACGGATAAGGAAATTCTCATTCAAATTGCTTAATTATGTAAATTTAGTTTCAGTCCGACTCGATTGGTAAATTATGAAATATGATTTCGATATTCTAATATTAACGAAATGACCTGTGAATTTAGTTTCTAAATGTAATTCACATTTACACCGAGTATGACATTTAAGTAAAGTTCTTTCAACAATGACCACTTTCATTTGCCAATCAGGTGATGGTTTGATTGGTCTTTTCACTTATGTGAAGAGTGAGTTCGAAACCTTTCGTCCACAGTTGTTTTCACCAATTCGATACATCAAAGAGAGAGCTATCATCTATTGTATAGCTTGCAGTGTTATCTCGGTCAATATAAACCTCCAATAAATTAAAAATGACTGCTTTCATTTTGGAACTTTAATGTTTTAGACAAAATTTACCTCAAAATACAAATCGATTTCGTTAATCCAACGGCAAATATTATTTTCATGTAAACTTGACAGGTCCAAAACTTAAAATTTTCAGATTAAGCATAACATATCACCACAACATCCAAAAGTAGAAGCCAAAACTCCTGAAGTAAAAAAGAAAAGGAAAAGAAAAAAAAAACCTAATTAACTAAAACTAAGATTATAAGTTCCAAATTCATCCAAAGACAAAATATATAGCTCAACCAGTCCTAAGCTCTCTCTTTCTATCACAAATTAATTATGTAAAATAATCCTACATAATAGAACATGCATGTGGGTTTTCATCACTGAACAAGGAAGTGAGTCTCTCGTCCGTCGCATTAGGGCTAGGAAGTGCTTGAACCACATTCTTTACATAACCAGATGGTGCCTTCTTATCATAGGCTTGTGCTACATAAGGATAAGCCACCAAATTGTACGGGACATAAGGCCAAAACTCAGCTCTCTTTCCTGTGCTTTTCACTTTCTTTAACACCTTGCTTGGCTCTACATATCCACTTACCGTTACTCTGCTTTGTTTTCTGTTTACCTCCACCGACTTCACACCTAATTAAATAGCCAAAAACAAATAAGCTACGGTAAGTAAATACGTATAAGAACATTAATGACTAGTATTAGTAGCACATATAGCTAGTTAGAGGATAGCTTGTTGGTTCATTTACAGCCTTAAGTTATAAGGTTGTGTTTGGTTGGCTTCATTTATTGTGGTAATAGACTAGCTTCAGCAGCTGCAATTCTAATTAGTGGATGGAAATGATGTCTTTTTCCTGTTAATATTGCTTCTAGGAATATATTTGCTATTCAAAGCTGTACTTTTGCTTGTTCCAAAATTTTTGCCTAAATTAAGTTGATAAACTTTGACTGAATTACCATGCATCGAGTTAAAATGATTTATGTATACAATTGTAATTGTGAAAGATGAAATCATAAATTTAAACTCTGGTAAAAATTTGTAATTATCTGGAAAAGTAAATGAAGTAGCAAAAGGGTGTGTGGAACAGTGCAAATAGCAATATTTATGGGAGCAGAAAATTTATGATGGCAGATTTTTGAAGAGTACTTCAATGAAAAAAAACAGAGTCAACTCCTATTAGGTGTTGTACTCTTCCTGTTCCCAATACAAAGAAGCCAAAAAATTTCTGATCTTCTTTGACTGATTATTTATTATTTAATGACATTTTCTTTTTTTGGCTACATATGCATGGCATGCCAATAGCTATAATTCCCAGAAAGAAAAATACACAAATACAGAAAGTTGATAAAGAAACAGATTCTCTTGAAAAGAAGAGACTTTTCCTTTGAATCGTCTAATCAAGAATAGGTTTTGGTGGCCAATTTACTAGCAAGATTGAAGAACGAAGAGAGAAAAGAACGCAATAATTAATTAAGTTATACCTTTCATGTGCGAAACAGAATTTCTGACTCTCCTTTCACAACCATCACAGTCCATTTTCACTTTGATATCAACCGTCTGTATAAAAACAAAGAAAAAAGAACAATTAGAAAATAATCAAAGAAGCAAATATATAATTACAGAGAGAGATTTGGTGTAAGAGTTCACCTGCATTGGCTTTCGCTTCCTCTTTTTACTTGTGATGGTGAATAAATCAGAGAGGTAATCTGAGAGAGAATCAAGAGCTCCCATTTGATTCTCAAAGCTAAGGCTTCAAAGAGTTTCAGTCTTTTAAAGAGAGAGAGAGAGAGAGAGAGAGAGAGAGAGAGGAGTACGCAGGAGGAGAGAGATGGAGGATGGAAATAAATGTAGCGTTCTTCATGTATATATATATACATATATAGTAGGGTAAACGTAACTATGATTGATCATAACAGGAACCGGGTTACTTGCTGCAAGTTGTCCTTTATTTTTAAATTATATTTTATTTTATGTAAACAAATTTAATTAATTAATTAGATAATGACTTGTGTTCTGTTGTGTCCCATTTTTTTTTTTTAATATATGAATCATGCTTCACAGTTCACAACAAGCTAATGCTAGCTATCCAATTGGGATTTTTGCTTGGCTCCAAAAGTACTTAAAATCTTATTTTTGTTATAAAAATAAAAATTAAAAAAGAAAACATGAGATGATTTTTTGTTGTCTTAGTTGGTTTTCTTGTATGATTGGGTAATGGGAAGCTGTTTTTATTTCTTTAACCCAAAGAAAAGGAAACTGTTGTAAAGTGTTTTGCGTTTCTTTTTACTTGCTGCACACTGGCCTACATACGTTTGTTGCTTCATGTGTATCTATTTATATATATATAGGAAAAAAATAAAAATGAAAATGAAAACAAGTCTCTCCCTTTCTTTTTCTTTTTCTTCTTTTATTTTAAATAATATTGATAATCATATTCTAATTAATAATATAGATTATAGTGTATAAACTGCATAATCTGGCTGCACGTATTAATAGATCGAATGAATTAATTAATAAACTGAATAAAGGAATTTGTGGAGTGTTATAACTAATACTATATAGTAGGAGCCACGGTTTTAATATATGATACTGGTTTGATGTTGTCTTGCATGCAAAGCAAAATCATTTGCAAACATATATAGAAATATATTTTGGGTTGACGCGGTTATATATGGAACCTGCAATTATTGCAACTCTTGAGTCTTGAGTTTAGCCCACGAAAGCCACACATTCTACAAACCATGGGCTACGTATATATCAACCGGTCAAACTTGTAATTTTTTATATGAAAAGTTTTATTATACCAAGGAGAAATTATTAATTGATAACTTCTGATTAAGGCCGTAGAAGGAGTTAAAATGGCTTGTGAGCTATTCTAAATTCAATTTTTTAAAAAATCATTTGATGTTGCTTGTAAATTTAATCTAATGAGCTATGCTTGAACTCATTTATTGAGACGAGTTGAATTTAAATTTTGAAATGATGTTGACAAGACTTGGGATTAAACACTAATTAGGGAAAAAAATTTATCAAAGATTAGAAGGGCAAAATTTAAAAAAAAAAAAAAAACTATTTTAAGATATAAATTCAAAAATTTATAGGACAAATTTTCATATTATATATTATAAAATTGATCTGGAGCCCATCTGTCCTTCATGATTGCAAAGGGTGAAGCCAGCAGGTTCTTCTCCTCTACTTACAACCTTTTCACATTTAACACCGCGTTTAGTTGTATTCCTAGCCCTGCAAATCCTGCAACTATTTTACGAAAACTGTAAGATTTGTTGAGCTATGAAATGAAATATAAAGTATTATTAATAATTAATGAGATGGGGTCAATTATTGAAGAATTTAGGTGAAGCTACTGTCCAAGATTGCAACCCTTCCTCTCAATCTTACGTTAAGTCGTCTAAATATGACACCCACTTGACAGAAAGAAATTTCCATGGCTTGCAATTTGCAAAACTCTCTCTAAAACCCTTCGATTATTCATATTCATAAATGTCATCTTCTCTAATTTTTCCACTGGTTGCTTCAGTCAACAACGCATGCATTCGTCCAAAAACTGCCACCACAAATCCTTCAATTTTTCTATTTATCTTTCCGGAAATTCTGAAGCATGGAGATTATATTTCAATCTCAAAAGGGCCGAAAAAATATTTTTTTTTTTTTTTTTTTTTTTTTTGAAATCATGGAAATAGCGATGGCGTCTCCGTTTATATATGTTTTTCTTAGCTTGTGTCTATAAATAAGTGAATTTGTTGTCAAATTGGTTTTCAATTATGTGTATCTGTTGTTGTTGTCGTTCCGAGCTCTTCTTGTTAAAGTTACTACTACAATTGGAGTGTGTGCTTAAACAATTTCAGAAAGTAATTTTGGATCCTGCGTGTCCTGATTATTTTATTTTGTAATTTATTTATTTATTTATTTATTTTTTGAGATTTGTAATATAATTGAAATATGAGAAGTTCTTTTGTTGTTTTATGCTTATGTTTATTTTAGTGAAAGCACATGGATATGAGTAGTGAAGTAAAAAGCTTTGGACGTTTTGTCATAATTGGAATCGTTATTGTGATGTTCCCTGCCCTGGTAATCTATGCTCCAAGTTTTCATGTGCTGTCAACACTATATATCTACTAGCTGTTAAAGTTTATGTCTTTATAGCTTTGTTAAAATCGTGCTAGATCTGGTCACTGCTTCCCTCTCCTGGGATCTGATGAGTTCCCAAACAATATTACAGATGTCAGATTTCAGCTTTTGAAGCCAATTCTTTTGACCTTAAACAATCTAGAATAGGGATTGTTGATTGACTCAAATTCTGGCTGATAGAATCTACCTGAAAATGTTTTTGGTGGCTAAATTTCCTCTTTATGATGTTTGTAGTTTGCACTTTACAGTGTGAAGATTTATCACATATACCATTTTTTTTTCAGGTGAAAGAAAAAAAAGAAAGAGGAACTTTCAGTTTATAATTAAGATATGATATGAAATAAGATATTTAGATAATCCGTTTTCTTAATTTGTATTTAATAAATATCTTTTCTGGACCATACATGATTAGTTAAGGGTCCTTTTAATTTGCCTTCATATTTGTGTTTCAATGATAACTCATGTACAAATATATAATGAACAAAGATAATATTTTATAATTAGGAATATTTAGTTTAAAAGTTCACATTAGTAATTTTTTTGTTAAATATAAATTTTACAAATAAATTTTTTGCTCCATATAATACATAACGGGAATGTAATTTACATACTACCTTGTTTCTGAAAAGTGGAATGTAATTTGTATTGAATAATTGACTTGTTATTCTTTCCTTGTTGATACCTTTTTCCAATTAGATGGTATATATCATTTCATATGCTCATCTTGTGTTGTGTCAATAATGTTCAATAAATATTATTGATGAGGCACCTTTGTTATTTGGTAATATAGTTTTTTGATTTCACAGGAGCAACCTCCTTCCTTTTTACTGAATATCAGTATGTTGGAATTTTCATGGTTGCTTTTGCAATCCTTATTTTCCTATTTCTTGGCTCTGTTGAGGGATTCAGCACCAAGAGTCAGCCTTGCACCTATAACCCATTGAAGCTGTGCAAGCCTGCTCTTGCCACTGCTGCCTTTAGCACTGTATCCTTCTTGCTTGGTGCTGTCACTTCTGTGGTTTCTGGTTTCCTTGGGATGAAAATTGCTACTTATGCAAATGCTAGAACCACCCTTGAGGCAAGGAAAGGAGTTGGGAAGGCTTTTATCACTGCATTTCGATCTGGTGCTGTCATGGGCTTTCTCCTTGCTGCAAATGGTCTTTTGGTGCTTTTCATTGCCATCAACCTCTTTAAGCTGTACTATGGCGACGACTGGGCTGGCCTTTTCGAGGCTATAACTGGTTATGGTCTTGGAGGATCTTCCATGGCCCTCTTTGGCAGAGTTGGGGGAGGCATCTACACCAAAGCTGCTGATGTTGGTGCTGATCTTGTTGGCAAGGTGGAAAGGAACATCCCTGAGGATGACCCTCGGAATCCAGCTGTAAGGAACTTCCCCTGTTTGGAAATGATTTTGTATCTTGAGAAATGAATTTATTTCTGGTTGGAGGCTGTCTGTAATTGTTCTTTGTTTTCAGGTGATTGCTGACAATGTTGGTGATAATGTTGGGGATATAGCTGGTATGGGATCTGACCTTTTTGGCTCGTATGCAGAGTCTTCTTGTGCTGCCCTAGTTGTTGCTTCCATTTCCTCTTTTGGAATTAATCACGAGTTGACTCCAATGCTATATCCTCTTATCATCAGTTCTGTGGGTATCCTTGTCTGCTTGCTGACTACTTTATTTGCAACTGATTTCTTTGAGATCAAGGCTGTAAAGGAAATTGAGCCAGCTTTGAAGAAGCAGCTCATTATTTCGACTGTTCTAATGACTCTTGGAATTGCCGCTGTTAGTTGGATTGCTCTTCCATCTTCTTTCACCATCTTCAATTTTGGGACCCAGAAAGATGTAAAGAACTGGTAAGGTCTTTCATATTTTTTCTGTTTAATTAGGTTGCACTTTCTAGCATAATTTGCTAATATTGTCATTGAATTCTATTTGCAGGCAACTTTTCTTGTGTGTTGCTGTTGGTCTCTGGGCTGGGCTTATTATTGGTTTTGTAACTGAGTATTACACCAGCAATGCATACAGGTTAGCTTCGGAACTAATATTTCTTTTTATTTTTTTCTTCATTATATTTTTTTTGAAATATTGATATAAATTAATTTAACTATTAATTTAATTATCTCTTTTTGCAATATATTTGCAGTCCTGTGCAAGATGTTGCTGATTCCTGTCGAACTGGAGCTGCCACTAATGTTATTTTTGGCCTTGCATTGGGATATAAATCTGTCATCATTCCTATTTTTGCCATTGCAGTTAGCATTTTTGTCAGTTTCACCTTTGCTGCTATGTATGGTATTGCAGTAGCTGCCCTTGGAATGCTGAGCACCATTGCCACTGGATTGGCAATTGATGCTTATGGTCCCATTAGTGATAATGCTGGAGGGATTGCTGAGATGGCTGGAATGAGCCACAGAATCCGAGAGAGGACTGATGCCCTCGATGCTGCAGGAAACACCACTGCTGCTATTGGGAAGGTTTGCTAATTTCTTTGACTTGAGCCTTAGCTACTTCCTTTGCACTTGTTAATATCTGCATCTTTGCAATATCTTTGCTACTTTTACTTATGATGTCAAAATGCAAATCTTGTGCTATATCTGTATTGATGTCTTAGTGAGTAGGTTCTCCAAACTTTCAATTGAACCATGATTCAATGGACACACGACTAAGAAAATGGATTTTCTTTATGGGAAAATGAATGATAATGGGTTTTCGTTATATTTTCAGTTTATTATTGCACCAGTTAGAAATTGATTTCCTTTTTCCAAATGAATCATTCAGAATGAGAATAATTAATAACATTCTATGTATAACTTTGCTTTTCACACATATATCGCTTATCTAGAGGTCGATCCTTTTGGTAGTTTGGTAATCTGGTTGAGAAGTTGCGTAGTTTCTAATATTTTTGCACTGATGCATGAAACGTTTTACCTAAAGCTTTCTTAACTGTAATATATCTTTTCTGCTACCCTTTCCAGGGTTTTGCCATTGGTTCTGCAGCTCTCGTGTCTCTTGCTCTTTTTGGTGCCTTTGTTAGTCGTGCAGCAATTTCAACAGTAGATGTGTTGACACCAAAAGTATTTATTGGATTGATCGTGGGTGCTATGCTTCCTTACTGGTTTTCTGCCATGACGATGAAGAGTGTGGGAAGTGCAGCTCTAAAGATGGTTGAGGAAGTTCGCAGGCAATTCAACACCATCCCTGGTCTGATGGAGGGCACTGCCAAGCCTGATTATGCTACCTGTGTTAAGATTTCCACTGATGCTTCCATCAAAGAAATGATCCCACCTGGTGCACTCGTTATGCTCACCCCCCTTATTGTTGGAATACTTTTCGGTGTCGAAACTCTGTCTGGTGTTCTAGCAGGATCACTTGTATCTGGTGTACAGGTATGTCAGGGCAGTTGCCTGACATTAATTGGCATGTAATAGCAGTATAGTGGCCATCGCAACAGCATCTTCTATATTAACTTCTGGACTTTAGGGTGTTGCTATATCCTGACCATCTATATCCTGACCATTTTTTTCTGTTCTCTGTATACTACAGATTGCCATCTCTGCATCTAACACTGGTGGCGCCTGGGACAATGCCAAGAAGTACATTGAGGTGGATATCTGATGGATTTTTTTTCTTCTTCATTTTGAATATGTTTCTTAAATTCATAGTTTATGATATGGAATTCATCGAGTTTTCTTGTCGGGTGATAGGCTGGTGCCTCTGAGCATGCAAGAACTCTTGGTCCTAAAGGCTCAGATCCACACAAAGCAGCTGTTATTGGGGATACCATTGGAGACCCATTGAAGGATACATCTGGACCATCACTAAACATCCTTATCAAACTTATGGCAGTTGAATCGCTTGTTTTCGCTCCATTCTTTGCTACACATGGAGGCCTGCTTTTCAAGATATTATAAAGATATGGACTATGAGACAAGCAAGACAAAAAGGGTCCGCCATTTCTGATAGTTTCTGGTTCGTTATATATCCTTGTTATAATTTGGCAATCAAAGAATATGTAGTTCATAGTTCATGTTGACTCTTGAATTTTGTCTGTCATGTTGTTGAATGGTGGGGAAAATTTTCCCCTTTTAGAGGATTTTGATGTCAATGAGGATCCATCGTAATGGTGATAAATGGTGAAGAAGTGCAGTATTGCTTTTTCTAGAAAGTACCAGTTAATCTTTTCCATTTTGTTATACAATTCTTTTGAACTTGGCTTAGGCTAAAACTGGGTTGAGTGTGCCATATCAATAGGCTCGGCTCCCTGTTGATAATTAGCAGAATTTAGAAGTGTGCCATTCAGAATACGACAAGTGCTTTGAAGAGGTTGATAATTAGAAGCAGAAAGTAAAACATATGAACAGTAAAGGACAACATGCGAAAATGAGATCAAACATTTCACGTTTCTGGCTAACTGTCAGGTAGCTGAGAGTGCGACTGGCATCCTGTTCCAGAAATATCAGCATGTGGAAAATGATTAATTAATAAACCATGGCTCGGCTCCCTGTTTTATAGATTAGCAGAATTTAGGAAGTGTTTTGCCATTACAGAATACGAAACAAGTGCTTTGAAGAGGTTTATCAATTAAAAGCAGAAAGTAAAACATTTATATAGGCTCGGCTCCCTGTTGATAATTAGCAGAATTTAGAAGTGTGCCATTCAGAATACGACAAGTGCTTTGAAGAGGTTGATAATTAGAAGCAGAAAGTAAAACATATGAACAGTAAAGGACAACATGCGAAAATGAGATCAAACATTTCACGTTTCTGGCTAACTGTCAGGTAGCTGAGAGTGCGACTGGCATCCTGTTCCAGAAATATCAGCATGTGGAAAATGATTAATTAATAAACCATTTCCATTTTCCTCGTTCATAATTGATCATTCACATGCAAACAGTACACTAATTTCTGGTTAAATGTCCAACTCCTCATCAACTATCATAATCAAACTCAACATTCGTTACCAACCACGTGACGCAATCTTTCATGTTCATGAACGGCAACTGCTCTTCCGTCACATTGTAGAAAGATTCAAGGAAAAATTTGTCAGACCAAGTTCTGACCTTTTCGTCGTCATTTCAAGACCAAAGTCGTCGTTTTGTATTTCGTCCCTCCCTCTCTCTCTTGAGACGATCATGCTCTCTCTTTCCTTTCTCCATCGTCTACCTCCAAAACCCTCTTTCCCTTCCCAAAACCCTCTTTCCCTTCTCTATCTGCATTCTATCCTCGCAAGCCGTCACCACCGCAATCTCTGCTTCTCACATCCACCCATTCATTTCTTTCTCTCCGCATCCGATCCATCTCCCCCACCGCCACTGCTACAGCTACGGCAACACCCAAACCGAACTCATTATGCCCGACCCAAATGCTATCCTCCAATTCCCACCTCCTCAAAATAGCCATAATTGGATTTGGCAACTACGGTCAATTCCTTGCCAAGACTCTCGTCTCTCAAGGACACACAGTCCTTGCTCACTCAAGAACAGACCACTCCCTTGAAGCTCATTCTCTTGGAAAAGAAACAGACCTGACTCCCGTTGAAGCTCATTCTTCTTGGCGTTTCATTCTTCCTTGACCGCACATGGACTTTCTGCTGTGAGCAACACCCTGATGTATCTTGATTATGACATCCATAATTTGTCTGACAGAAGAAAGGTCCCTCAAGTTTCTTTAACCTTTCTACATCAGATTTAAAACAGATTCAAAAACATTTTTTATTTTGTTGATGTATATTAAATCGTTAAAAGAATGTTGCTAAAAAAATCTTATTGCTTGATGTTTATCCCTAGTTGACCTATTTGATTGATTATTTGTAACTTCATCTCCATGTATTTGTGCCTACAAAGTGCCAATTCTGTGGATGGGGATTTGATCTCGCTAAATTTGTGTGATGGAGGAGATGTCTAGATAATTGGCAAAGGAGAAAAATTTCTAAGAATTGATAGGTGTAAGAGAGGATTTCTTGAATTTTTCTAGCAGAGGGATGTAAAATGGTTGAGGAAATGAGCTGTCAAGACCAAGATAAGACATGAAAGCTAGCAGGATCACTTAAAAGTGTTAAATTTCTGGCATTTTCACGATGAAATTCACGATCATACTAGTTAATATTTTTCTGTTAATTCTTTTTTTTTACAGCATCAGAATGGTGAGTTAGTGGCTTAAGTTGAAAAGTGAGCCTTTTTTTAGCTCCAATTAGCCCTGCAGATTTGATTATTGAAGTTTATATCACTCTTATGATGTCGGACTTCATAAAATAGGATAGTTTGTTATTTCCATTCTAATGTATAAATTCAGAGTGCAGTATATCCTTTGCAAAATGGAAATGATATGCGGAATCTCTTGCTAATCAACTCATAAGATTTAATCTGTAAATGTCTCACAAATATATATGTTTGTTTTAAACAAGATTTTGGTATTCGAGGAGCAGTTTATCTTAACAGTGGAACCAATGCTACTAACCAAGATTTTTTTTAATCCAAAACTCCAAGAGAATGGCAGCAACTCCAGCAAAGGCCAATTACTTTCAAAACCCGGCCTAATCATCTTAACCCTGGTCAAAATTATCACATACTATTTTGGTCAGCGTGAACATGCAAGGCTTTCTTGGAAGCCTTTGATCTCTGGGAATCTGTAACACAGAGGAGTGAAAACCAATTCCTTCTGCTACCAGCAAACCCCACCTTAGCCACAAAAATCAAATCCAACAGTGAAATAGAAAAAGCAAAGAAATCTAAGAGCCAAGTCAGGTTATATCAAAAAATTCAGTAGCAATTCTGTGTTCTTAACCGAATTTATGCGACTTGCAAAATCTTGCAAAAGGAGAGTATGGCGGACAGGATTGAAGAAGGAATACCAAGAGCCAGTGAATAGAACACGCTCCAAATGCATAGTGGTATTGAACTTGAAATAGAAGGAATTTTGAAGTCGTTGAACATGTGGACGGATGAAACAATCAGTAAGTATGCCGATTCGAATTCGTTTGCATTGCCTTAGATAAAGCAATAAGATTGCTTGGTGAAGAATTTCTCAGATACAAGAATTGTGAGAAAGGTTCTTGTGACTCTTCCAGAGAGTTTTGAATCCAAGATTCTTAGCGTGCGTTGAAGAGTGCCAAGGACCTTAAGTTACGGATTTCATTTAGGTAAAAAACTAAAATGAAGTGCAACAAATCAAGCGCAAGAGTCAAAGATAGGGAATATTGAGGCAGTGGAGAGAAAATATCAACTTGCCCCAAGGAACAGCTTTTCTCTATTGCCAAACAAGCAAAAACTCTTATTAAGGGAAAGCAGATCATCCCAGAACCAGGAACAAATATCAAGGCGCAAAGCCACGCCGATGGTGCGAAAATTAGCAAGTGAAGGGTCAAAGAAACTGTTTCTCTTGCAAAAAACACATGCAAAGAACAACACAAAATCTTGAGAAAGATATTGCTGGTGGAGACCTGATGCTGTAGTGTGGCCGAGTCCCAATAATAAGAACAAGAACTTGGAGTTATGTACTTCCAAAAAAGTCTGCGAAATCCAAAAAACCGAAAAAGGCCTGCAAAAAAAACTCTCAAGCTCAATACAACGAAAAAAATAATGCACCTTAATGCAGGAGAGCTCATTTACTTTTTGCAAAGAGACTTTATTCTTGCACATTCTACAAATGATTGCATGATTCTCTGCAAAAATGCAATATTAGGTCTGTTAATCTGACAGTGCTGCACTCATCACTGTGCAATGATGCACAGAGATGGTTCAGGACTCTTGATGATTACCTACAAATCCAAAGTAAAGGTGGGTACAAAATGGAAGAATTCCTAGAAGTCAAAGGAAGAGATTAGTGGCCGTCTTAACAAAAATTCAGGGTATCAAAACCCATTCCAGATTTTAAGTTGTAATACCTGAAATTAGCCAAAAGTTTGCTAAGTAGTAAATGGGCCACCAAAATTATGCTTGAAAAAAAATATTCACCCATTAACTTTTTAAGCGATGACAAATGCCATTGTGAATTTTTGATTCCTAGTCTTGGAGATTAAATATTATTTAGTGAATACGATGGAAAATAGAAGTTTGTATAGTGTAAAATTGGGAGGAAAGCATCTGAATGAAATGCAAATAAATCACGATAGTGCTTCACAGTTGCAATTTACAAAACTTCGTACTGGCGAAAAAACGGCGTAGGGACATTTCAAGTCAAAGAACAATTGCTGAAATGAACAAGAAGGGTCTGGTGGAAGATGATGAAGACCTGAATTTCGCGTATGATACTCCAAGTTATGTGAATCTGTTCCAAGCAATGGGACAGTCAGATTCCGGAACGCTATCTCCATTTCTCAAAACAAATTCAGGCATGGAGAGCAAAATCAAAAACTTCAACTCGTCCACACTGATGTGTTGGTCGATGACAAACCAAAGATCCTAAGTGGTAACAATTATTTTCTCCGTATTTTATTGAAATCGAGCATATTTGGCAGCCAAAGAGGATGTGTTGGGTTTTATTTCATTAAACTCAAGAAGTGAAGTGCTTTGATGTGGTTTTGAGAAAACAAATTTAAAGCTTTAGTCCCAGAAGAATCAAATATAAATCTGTAAAAATCCTCCAAGCTTTGAAGTCGTGACAATGGTGGAGTACTTCTCTATATATGCTGTAACTCGCCAGCCTTTGCTGAATTCTTGTTAAAAGTTGCAACAAGGCACCTTTGAACTATCAATTGAGCTGTACCTTTACACTCCACAGCACACAAAATGGGGTGTCTGAATAGGTAAGAAAGAACTCAAGGACAGCCTAACGTGTACCGATGGCCAGAGGTGGTCTATTTATACTTTGAAGAAACACCGATGAAACGTTCGAAACCAATTACTGTGGCAAAGTGACGTCTAAATTACAATATGTCTATATTAAATAGCACCTTCCCAACAAAAGCTTTGCAAGACATGAGACACTCCTATATTTGAAGCTGTTCCGCGCTATGACACACAACCATGACACAGAATACAATTCCACCATCAAGAATCTGTTGGGTGTATAATGTTTATTATCAAGATCTCTGAATCAAAAAAAAAGCTATGACGCATAGACAACAGGACCTGAAAAAGGCATTTCTTGGCTATGAATCATTTCGTTGTAAAGGTACAGAATTTTTCTGCTTATAAAAAACTGAAAAAATAATTCTTGAGCAGAGATGTAA